TTTTTTTTTTTTTTTTTTTTTTTTTTTAAATTAAATAGTGCAAAAAAAACTTTTCAGTATAGGCGTACACAACTGACGTAACTCGAGTAATTTGAGCTAAGCCATCGGAGACGTAATAACATTTACATAAAATCGGGATACAAGTAAAACTAATGTAATGTTTATAGTATACATGTAGCTATGGGAAAGCTCGAAATAACGCATAATACCGCGGAACTAACTCCGGGAATTCTAATAATAAAATAATACGCTATCACATTCTAATTGGAGGTAAAAAATATATATTCAACACTTGTGAAGTTAAATTTTTTTTTTTTATTCACAAACATCATTGCGTACGATCAAATACAAAGTCTTAGAACATCATCTTATATTATTCTCCATTTCATTATACAAAAGTGCCGAGTCCGCAAAAAATGTTTCTACGCCAAGCAAATGAAGGGATAAAAAGAAATGCGTGAGCTTATAAAATTCTCAACTGAGCTAAGTTTTACCTAAAAGTACCAACAACAGCTTCTACTATGATATAAACAACGTAAACGAATCAATTGGACTATTTTCATAACCCGCGCACTTTCAGGAGCCTGGCGAGGCGATGATAGCCCCTGTAGCCCAACGTCAGTCGCGAGTCGGCCGCGTTTCAGGACGACCTGCCGTGCCGTTCCGCGGAATCGTCGGCAAGCGTGTGGGCCGGCAGATACTTGGACGGATCCTTTGGGTCCTGGAGCAATGGGTTCCTCATGGTGGTGCTCCTGGCCCCGAGGCTCGAGTAGCCCTTGTCGTACAGCGAACAGTAGGACACCCTGTGCTCGAGAAGGAAGTGCCACACCTAGAGCACAAAAAAATGGGCTGCTGATGGAAAGAACTCGACCCTCGCAACGTCGAACGGTCAAACCTGAGTGTACGACCAGTCGATTATCGGACTGACGCGCATGACAGCCGGCCAGTTCGAGTCCGTGGGGCTGAAGGGCTCGAGGCCCTCGGAGCCCGGGTCGTGCTTTCGCGTGCCTAAAAAGCAAGCTTTCAGCTCGGGCCTCTCCTTCAACAAGTTGCTCAGCGCCTGCCTGATCGTCCCCTCCTTGTACACCACTTCCAAGCCGTAGTACCTCGACGCGTCCTTCACGAACTCCTCGACCTGCAATTCATACGCGATGCTCTTGTTTGCACTGTACATTTGTATTTAACGCCTCGGGGAGGGCACGTGTCCACGAACCTCGGGAAAGTCGTCGCCGGTCACGTACAAACAGAGCGGGGGATCGAGTTTGCGCATCTTGGCGAAAGTGGCGGCCAAGTGGAGAACGGCCGTGCAGTCCTTGCCCCCGTTGAAACTCAGGAATATCTCGTTCGCCCTGTACCTGATGGTCAAAATCACGATTTCATGTGCCCAATCACATTTTACACGTACATGTATACTTGGCTCATTAAAACATTTTTTTTTTTTTTTTTTTTTTTTCACAGAACAAAAAGGCAAACGAGGTCACACGTGCGCAATATAATCATCTTTGCACATGTGCATGTGTGGATTTATGTACATATCTGTTATCGAAAACGGTAGCGTTTCTCCCAGCGTCAAGAAAAGTTGCGAAAGAGGCGTTGGAATGAAAAAAAAAAAGGAGAGACTCCAAACCCAACTTGTCGTAGCACTCCTCGACGACACTGAAGGCCCTGTGGAGGTGTTCCGAGTGCTTGCGGTCCCCGTAAACCGCCTCGGCGACCTCCTCGTCGAACCTAACGACGACCCTCGTGTCCTTGGGCAGCATCGCGACAATGTCGGCCTTGGCCCTGGCGATGTCCTCGCGGCTGTGCGACTCGAGGCTGATCAGGGTCCTCGGGGGTGCCCCGGGGGAGAGCGTCGGCTGGGGGTAGCTGCCGATCTTGACCCTGGCACGCCAGCGCTCGGCTTGCCGGTCCAGCAGCTCCACCAGGCCAAACTCGTCGAGCTCGATGTCGAGGAAACCGGTACGGATCGGCGAGCCGGACTCCAGGAGGGGCACGATCCGGTCGACCGCGCTGCGGAAGTAGCACGGCGAGCCCGGCAGGACGTACACGTTCCTCGCTCTGACCACCGAGTACGTGCGCGACTCGTCTGTTGGCACATTATGTTTTGGCCGATTTTTCAGTACCGCCTCTCAAAGGGAAAGTCAAACCGCAAGGACCGATCGAATGGGGGAGAACAAACTTTCGCGTGTTGGTCGAGAAATAATGGGTTGTAAGAGAAATATAGGCCATACCTTTGAGATGGGGCGACGTGACGTGGACGAGTTCGCAGGGTGTGGGCACGAGGGCGAGTAGCTGGGACTCGGGCCGGTCCGGAAAGAGGGCCTTCAGTTCCCGAAGAAGCCGCTCGTCCTCCTTGAGAGCGAGGCCGAGGGCTTTGGCTACGCCTTCGTAGGTGACGTCGTCGTGGGTCGGGCCGACACCGCCGGACGTGAAGACGAGAGGGTAGCTCTTGGATGCCTCGGCTACTTCTGTGGCGATCGCGTCGATCTGTTCGGTGCGCGTGAGCGTGTACGTTTTTTTTTTTTTTTTTCTTTTTCAATGGTATATAAATCGGTAGGTAATTATCGATACATATATGCACGTCGGCTTGTCACCCCGTTTGATTTATGTTTTTGCAAGAAGGTGTGCGCGTGCTGGTTGTCGATTGTTTTTTCAACCGAAAGTATAAGGTAATTATTTGCTCGTAACAGCGTATTATATATACATATTGTGCCGAATTGTGTAATCAAGAAGTGTTACCTCATCGGGAACAACGACGACTTTTTTTATTTTGATGCCTACGGCGTACAAAGTTCTGGCGAGATATTGCGTGTGCGTGTCTTGGCACTGCCCACGTAGAATTTCATCCCCGACGATGATAAAAGCTACGCCGTTGCTCGTCATCCTCAATAATCATCAACTGCGGTACGGATCGTCAAAAGAAAGGGGAGAGAGCCCAGTTTTAGAAAGTATTTACATTTATTTTACAATGGTTCAACTTATACATGAAATAAATTCATCATCGCGCCAACAAATGAATAGAGAGGGTGCAAATTGAAAAGCCGCATCAAAGTTTTAGGTCTTGAATGAGATTTGTGGCTTGTTGTTTCGACGCTTCGCTTACGGGCTGTGCGAGCTTTATGGGATTGGCTTTGCCTTTCGGAGCTTGCTGCTGCTGCTTCTTTTTGGGCTGACGAATTTCCTTGCTGATTTCTGCCAGCTGTTTGTTTATCTTGTTCGTCTTTTCTTTGCTAAGTTTGTTGCCCTGACCCAAGTCCAGCTGTGCTCAAACAGGTACGGTTTATTTGGTATTGCCACTATATGGTGATAGTTAAAAATCAGAGTCCTCGATTTGGGAAAAGACTTACTTTTTTCAGCGAGGTCTTGACTTTCTTGGCCTTGGACTTGGCCTTCTGGGCGCGCGAGTGTGACACCTTAAACACGTTTCTCTGCTTGTTCTTGTGTTTGCCCATCTTTGATATCTGCAACATCAGGATCTAAATTATCGTTTGACAACTTCATGATTTTCTTTGCTGGTTCCTCCTCATCTATACTGCCTTGCAATAATTCTCGTGTCAAAATAAAAGACACGCGCATCATCTCTTTGTTCGGAGCTACGTTCCTCACATGATGGACATCTACTATCGCGTTTGCGTCAAGCTTTGCTCCCAGATGTTTCTCGACTAATTCTTTTGCTAAGGCACTAAAATCTTCAGTTTTTGCCGCTTTTAAAAAACAGTATACATGCACCGTCGGAGGCTTTGAGTATACTTTTTCCATTTCATCTGTGGTTAACCAGTCCCTAAATACATCCAAAAATTCAACTGCAATGGCTGGCAAGTTCATTGCCAAATGCTCAGAACCGGGAAGATTTTTTTCTCTTCTTTCTAATATATCCTTTTTAACATCATCTCTTAAAAAATCTTTGCCATCCTTGTTAAAAGGGCTTATTAACTTTTTTACTTTGTTAACTTCTGCGTTTTTTAATAGCCATTTGTGAGATTCTGGATTCAAGTCGTTTGCCAAAACTCGGACGCCTTTGCGTGCTGCTGGTATGGAAAAAGGACCCACGCCAGCAAACACGTCGTAAAGCACATCATCTGATTTTAAGAAATTAACCAGAACCTTGTGCTCCGTAGCTAGTCTTGGGTTCCAATACACTTTGGCAAAGTCAAAGTGATAGGTGACGCCGTTCTCCTTTACAGAGACAACAGTATTTTCTTCTCCAGCAAGTATTTCCATGGCAAAATTTCTGTAGGTGTTGTCAATAATGTCCAATTTATTAACCACTGTCTTGATGTTTGGAGTCTTGTCGAGGAAAATTTGGCCTATTGCCTTTTTAAAGGGCAACAGCTCTTTGCGCAAATTCATGTGCAATATGTGACCAATTATACTGTACGATGTCGGTACTTCAACGTCCTTGGGCAAAACTGCGCAAAGAACATCGTTGCAGGGCCAATTCTCATAAGATAAGTGGAGTTCCTTCTCTAGGTAAACTTGGTCCCACATGATTTCCTGTTTGAAATCATCTGAAACATCCTTCATTTTTTGTGGGTCCAGGTACACAACACATTTTCCCTCTTCCTTGTCTTCGTGAGCTTGAACTGGCTTGAACTTGGGAAACTTCAGCAGTATTTTTCTAATTGTATTCTTGTATTCGTTAAAAATCTTATGGGAAAGCAGCAGGCAGGGCACGTTGTCAACTTTAACTTTAAAAGCTTCGTGATCGACTTTCGCCTGACTGCGCACCGAAGATGGAGGAACCAGCAAGGAAGTCATCTTAGTGTTGTAAAGCCTGAGTTGGGCTTTCGAAAGGCAAGCATCCAACCGCAACAGCCAACAGGATCCACGCATAAAAACTGAACTGCAGAACCAATGCTGCCTTGAACAAGAGTTCAAGCGTTTGTAATACCTGTTGCCTGCAGTCATATCTTTTGCTTATGAGAGGGGATACTTACATGAGTGATTAAAATAAAATCTGTACGAGTGAAGAACCAAATTGAAGCATCATTAACAGAAAATCAAGATAAACAACACATAAAAATACACCATCATCTCTCATAACCTCCAGATATGTTTATTCTTGATCAGCTCGAGCGTAAGAGCATCGAAAGCAAAGCCGACAACAAACGAACAAGTATAATGTGCACTCGCTGTCGCTCTGGTATATGAAATAAATAAATGAAAAATTTAATCACTAACCTTTGTTTTATACACTCGGTCGCAACAATTAACAACCTTTTTTAATTTTTAAGTATTTGAAACAGACAGCAACTACGCCACGAGGTTTACTGGTTCAAGACCTGAACTTCAAGTCGAGACTCGAGAGAGAGAGAGAGAGAGAATTTGACATCGCAAATCGCAAGTTCGACTTTTTTCGACTATCGACAACTTCATTCAAATATGTTCGCAAGCGACGACAACATCAGCTGGTATATAGCTCAAGTAGAGTAGGGGCGTAGGTAGTAAGGGCCAAGTGACAGTAGTCTGACCATGGACTGTAGTGTAGGTAGTGATTGTTGTCCGTTTCGAAGTAATTAATTACATTAGCCGGGAGGGGTTTGCATCCGCGAAATGTCAAGAAATCGAAGGCCATCAGCTTCTTTGCACTAATGACCAACGTTAGCACAGTAAAAATCTATCTTCTCTTCTCTTTCTCTCGCTATTCTATCCCTTTCACCGCACTAGCAAAATCGAACGAGTGCACGTACAGGGTGGAGTAGTGCATATACTTACAGGACTTTCCCGACATAAGGGTACAAAAGTAAAGAATAGTCCAGAGAATAAAATATGTCGAGCGAGTCAAACGTCAAAGGTTATGCACCTCTGCCTCAGAGCATCAGCACCGACACCGAGGATGACGAGGACGAGCACCATCCGCATCATCAGCGGCGCGATCGTATCAATTCCAAAGATGACGATCGGTCCAGGACGAGTGTTAGTATCATCTCTATTATTTTATCTCGAAGATTTGTTTGTTTTGCATGTTTTTCCACTAACTGTATTGCACTAGTGTGTTTACATTTGGAATTAATTGATCGCATATTCGGAGCAGTTTTAAAAACTTTGAGTTTATTCGGTTGGCTTTTTGTGATGGTATAAACGATGATTTCAAAGAGAATATTACGAGATCAAGGAGGATCGATATGTAGCTTGAGCTGAGCAATTATCGCGAAATTGTGGGAGGTGGTTCCGGCGCCATTTGCATACTAATTAATTAATTTTATATTATTGAGCAAAAAAAAATCTACTGCGTGTGTTTATACACTCAAATTCAAAGTTGATGTTAATACGCCTTCGTAGGTGACGTCGTCGTGGGTCGGGCCGACACCGCCGGACGTGAAGACGAGAGGGTAGCTCTTGGATGCCTCGGCTACTTCTGTGGCGATCGCGTCGATCTGTTCGGTGCGCGTGAGCGTGTACGTTTTTTTTTTTTTTTTTTTTTTTNTTTTTTTTTTTTTTTTTTTTTTTTTTTTTTTTTTTTTTTTTTTTTTTTATATATCTTACCGACACTCAGCTTGATTTTAATTGTTGCTAAACTTTTTTTTAGGATGCAACGACGATTTCTCAAAACGGAAGATTCTATCCTTTAGATGAAACAAAAAATACAGGATCTAGGACAAGAAACGGCAGAACTTCTTTTGGATACAGTAGCGATAATATACCCATAATGATACTAAATGGACCAGGCCAGGATGACTTGTGGAAGAGACGGGACATGTCTCTGCTTAGAAAGTGTTGTCTAGTCTTCAGTATTATACTGTGCATAGCTACGATATTAGTTTTTTTATTTGTTATACCTTGTGATAATTCATCTATATGTTTATATTCATCGTCTCAGCCAAAAACCTCTTTATCTTGGGATAAGGTGTTAAATGGTGTTGGTGAGTTAATTATCACAGTAAACATGATTATTATATAAAATTATTTAAGTATTAGTTTTGTATGTGTAATGAATCGTTACTTTTCAGAGTTACACGGAAAAATAACAGTAGTTCTAGATGAACCGTACAATTTAATATTTTTGCTAAGAGGACAACAATTTGGTGATTTGGGATCAACGAGTTGGGGTGGGAAGCAACAAATTGACAAGAACGGTGGTGGCGTTTTGTCAATGAAAGGGACCAGTGGCATTCCTCTGTGGTGGGTCGCCTTACAGCGACTGCCAATAGACATTAGCTGCGACTTAATTGATACCGATGGCTCTGGAAAGCCTGACTGCCTTGTATCTTGCGAGGGTGGTCTATTAGTTAGTATTGAACCAATAACCGGCACTATACATTGGAAGGCTGAGGTGCCTTCGACCTCGGAATTGCCTCTCGTACTCTCTGATTTGGATGCGGATAGAATTCACGATTTGATAGGAGTAGAATTAACAAACACTAGTCAGAACCTTGTATTTTTGTCTGGAAAGACTGGAAAACTGTTGATGCGCCGAGAAATTCCTGATTGTCAGTACGTCAAACTGAATAGAATAGATTTTTCGTTTGTTTTGACTTATACTTGTTACAACGGCGATAATAACCGTAAGTTTAAATTTTACTCTCCACTTGATTATATTTTCCAACGTCTTTAAATATTTTTATGATAAATGTTTCTAAATATCTTTTCACAGAATCAGTAACGATTTTACTGAAGAATTTCGTAGAGTCGCAGAATCTCAAGGAGATACATCGTCGTTATATACTGGACAGTACGCGATCTCCAAAGCCAATCTATCCAAACCAGACGTCTCCAACCAGTTGGGATCTTACAGCTCATTATCGTCTATACGTGATAAACAACAGCAGTGACGACTGCCCCGCTGTTGATTGTCGAACATCCGTAAATTTGACTCTGCGCAACAACATCAACGAGAGTAGTATCTGGAATCACACGAGCGCTTCATCCTTCGTCACAAAGCCCGCTATCATTAATACCACTGATTTACCCTACATAGCTGGCTTTGCTCTCAAATTTTGGAGTTGGAGCCCAAACACATTTTCTACTGTCAAGGTATTTTCAACATGTGATTTTTCTTTCTAAGATTAAAATTCTAATTCTACATTCAAAATTGATGATACTAATTAATAGTTATAATCATAATAACAATGTATTTGCAGGATGATGCTGAGGAACAAATTGTGCACCAGCATAAAATCATGGAACGCGTGAGCTTTTTGTACGTTAATCGCACAGAAGTGCACGAAATGAAGCCAAGTGTGCAAGAGTTAGTGCAGCTGTGTAGAGGCCATGACTGTCAACCCAACTTGATGCGTCAGACGCGTTCGATTTTAATAGCCAATCTGAATGGAGTCATGGAGCTTATCAGTTACGGATCGAGTTACAGCCAAACAGAAAATTTGAGCAAAGCAAACCTCACGTCTCGGGTGCAAATTGTTAAGCTCGAGCAAATATTTTGAGACGCAATTGTTTGGTCCTTTATATAAATACATAAAATAAAATTTGACGCACGTTGTGTGCGACCGAGGCATGCCGTTTAACCGAGCTTACTTGTGCTTTATTATTCACTAGTCCTACGCGATGAAAAAGGAAAAAATGTTTGAGAGCATTAATGAAATTTTGTCTTTTTTGCTACCTCATATCTATTTATGACTTTTTTTTTTATTGTGTAAAAAACCAAATGATGTATTGATCAGTTTTAATTGTTTTCTTTATTTGTTGAAATGTTTTTATTTATTTTGTTATCGCCTACGTTGTACGTACAAAAGCTTTTGATGTTAAAATGTATGATGTGGTGTATATTTATTTGTTTTGGTCAGAGATTTTTAAATAAAATTCTTATGAATTAAAGGTTTATTGAAGCTTGCAACAACTGTATTTATTGAAATACCAATTCCTATTTTTTTTTTTTTTTATAGCAAATTACTTTTAATTTAAATTTTATATATATTTTGTAGCAAATCTGTTGCAACTAAAAAAAATCCCATTTGACCACTACTTTGTTATCTATAACGGATGGACACAGCAGCATTGTAAATGCTGACTTGATAGTATAACTGAATCTCCGACCGCGTGGCGGCATGATTCGCTCCCGCATGTGGCGAAAAAAGTGTCTGGTTAGTATAAATAGACCAAATTGTCAGCAGAAGTTCAGAGATGTGTGCACACTGGCTCATGACGTATGTCTACAGTCACCCACGTGCGGACGGATTCGGTTTGAATAGTTTGCTACGTAGTAGTAGCTCACCGATCCGTACCTATGCAGGTAAGTGAGGTAAGTTGGACTTGGATGACTTGCTGGTGCGTACATATTTTTTGCTTTTATTTTAACATTTCTGTTAAAAACCAGTGTCCTGCTTTATTATTTGCGTTTTTCTGAACCAAATTTATCTCTTTTTTTCATTTCTTCTTACAAAGGGTGAAAATTTTGAAAAATCAAGAAAAACATACGTCCGCTGCTTTAACTTGATATAATTTTCCAACATTAATCAACTTACAGATAGTCATCTTTCATTTTATTATAAATTTTTTTTTTTTTCAGTTATAATTCGTTCATACAGCCTTTCATATATTTGCTCATTCTTTTGTTTTCTCTTGAAAAGTCCTTTTGTGTCCAACATTTACTTTTTTGGTATACGTACTAAAAAAACAGCTACTAAATATATAATCGTAACTCTTAAATATGCCATTCATAGAATTTCATATTTTTGAATCATTTTTTTATACGTTTATAAAGTAGAAACGTATAAAAAAAAAAAAAAAAAAAAAAAAAAAAACTGATAGAACAATTTTATAAAAAAAAAATTGTATCATGCAGCGTGAAATTTTTAACTTCGATTATTTTTAATTATACCATAACATCATAACATCATAACATATAAACACATGTCGTGTACTAATATCAATTTATATGGTTACTGTTACTTTTTTATTTATTTTCTTTTTTTTTTATAACTTATAAGTTATGTCTTTTTGTTTTGTGATGAGTAGCTCTTTAATAAAAAAATGAAATTATCAACTAACTGAACTCTACACTTTGGGTGATTTGGTTAAAGGGGTTGAGAGTACAGGCTTATGGGGTTAAAGTACTTGGGGTAAAGGGTTTACAGGGGCTCGAAGGTTGGGGAGTAGAAAATTATGCTTGTTAATAATTTTTATTTATAAGCTGAGTCATTTCAGTTATTAACAATTTTATTGAACCTACAAATACCATTCAAATGATTTACAAATTATTTCCTTTTTTGTGATAAGAAGTGATTTCTTTGTTAATACAAAAAATAACTACACCCCGGGTCATTTGGTTTAAAGGTTGAAGAGTACACGGTTATGGGGTTAAATTACTTGGGGTAAAGGGTTAAGGGACTTAAGAGCTTCAATTTAAGTTATTGATTGATTTTAGAACGTTTGAATTTGCGTTAGGCGGGTGTCCTATATTGGGATCAGTTGGGATGTTTGGGAATTTTGGGATTGTAATGGCGCAGGCTCCCGGGAGTCCCGGTCCCGGGCGGCCGGGCGCGTGCGAAGTAGATGGTATGGGTTGATTCATTTTTTTGCATACTAATGGCCAATAGCCATTAAATTGTTGAATTGAATGAAAAAAAAAATCGTTTTTTCGATAAGTGAAATATAATAAAATCCTCTTTGATACTAATTGCAAAAAAAAAAAAAAAAGTTGCGAAATTGTAAAATCTTTCAACAAGGACCCATACGTACAGTTCAATAATGGATGTACAAATTCAGGAAATTAAAAAAGGAATAAGTATGATGACCCTTGCTCGATCGCGTTTGATGCTGCAGTTTGCAATTATTGCAAAATCAATAATAATTAAATATGTCAACTTGCAATTGATTACCGACAGAGCCGAGACCGTCGCGTTTCCGGTCCAAGCGTCCCATGGGAATCGTAGGGACAAACGAACTTTGTGAAGTGTGCCACATGAAAGAGAGAGAGAGAGAGAGCCCCCCGGCAGCACTTCAAATTATATTTATAACCGCCAGTTACAGTCTTTGTCAGTTAGACATTTGTCCTCGCCTAGAGAGCTTCAGTTCTTAGTACCTCATACTTCTTGGAGTTTCGAGATGTCTGGTGGAAAAGGTTCAAAGGGTCTGGGAAAGGGAGGTGCTAAACGCCATCGAATATACCGGGACCATCTTAGAGGTATCACCAAACCGGACATTCGCCGTCTAGCTCGTCGTGGCGGAGTCAAACGGATTTCCGGCCTCATCTACGACCAAATTCGTGCAGTGCTCAAAGTCTTCCTCCACAGCCTTATTCGAGATGCAGTTACGTACATGGAGCACAGCAGGAGGAAGATCGTCACGGCTACGGATGTCGTTTATTCCATGAAGAGGCAAGGACGTACTCTCTACGGCTTTGACATTTAAGTTATTATTCATCACGAACATCGACCAAAAACAATCGGCCCTTTTCAGGGCCACGAAAGTTTATACGACGTAATGGCTGACTCATCCACAAACCGCACTAACTTCCATTATTCTTGATACTTGCTTAAAAATTTCTTTGTATGAATGAAATTTTTATGTATACTTAAAAATTTCTATGTATACAATAAAGTAGTTGAAAAAATTACTTTGTTTCAATGCGTTAATCAAATAAGACGGTGCCGTTTGTGAAATTCGGCATTCCCAAGAATTTTCGTCCGGGAAGATAAATGGCGTCGACGACGGGAATATAAAAATGTCTAAACGGTACGGCAGCACATTCAAAGTGCATAGGATCATGCTACGTATACGTAGCCTATAGGCATTTGTTGGTTAACTTCCATAGTAGTGCTTGAGTAGTAGACAAATGTAATGTCCTTGGCTTAAAAATATTGTTAAAACATATTTCTTTATAAGTATCTCTCATGAAAGACGTACCTATAACTTTTTTACACATGACGAATTATATCCTAAAAAAAAAAAAAAAAAAAACAATTGCCACGAGATGCGTCAGAGAGATAGAGAATTTTAGAGGGAAAGTGAAGTGAAATCCATGTCCGACATCTCAACCTTCGTTACGTCGCATTTACGTTAAGCAAATTGGATGTGTAACTCGTGAATTTATCTCGATTTCTAATTTGCACAAATCAAAAGTTTGAATAACTTTGTTGTCACGAGAGCTATATACTTATAGTGCCGCTTCCTTGTTTTGTTTTGTTTTTCAAGGTAAGCTCAGTGCGTGTAAATCACGAAGTGTACATACATACGTATTTTGCCTTTCAATCGAGATTGTAGCCAAGTTACAATTGCATTTTTTTTTCTTTACCTTTTCATGACACATGCCATGCTTAGTAATTACGTTTATTAGTAGGAAAGAGATGAGTTGTTTCGAATCTCCATTCGAATGGAGCATAAGAGAAGAATTGATTCAAGATTTACTTGAAGCTTTACTCCATAAGACGAGTCATGATGAGAATAATATCCCATTTGTTAATTTAAGTCGTTACGTCTTATTGACTTATGGTTACACTGTAAAACCTGATTACGATAAAGTTCGAAAATATATCGAAATCACTAATGAGATTTGGAATTCCAACAAAAAGTAAGTAACTTTTACAATGGTGTTTTTTGGATTGAATGGTAAAAGTGTTGTTTTCTTGAGAGCTTTGATTAATTACAATGAGATGTTTGTGTAAACCTTTGTTTAGAAAATTGCAGCAAGAGGGAGTTTCCGTGGATGCTGTCAATTCCATCATACAAGCTACTGAATACCGTTCCCTCACGATAATGAAGAATGAGCTTGGCAATGTTGAGGACGAAATAGTTGTTCCTCAAGATTTTCAGACCCTTGAAAGTGACGCTCGAGCCACGTTAAACGGATTGAAAAGTGTGGTATTTTGTGTTCTTGAATCCTACGACACGGCTATAAATTACGCAAAAAAAGCCGTTAGCGAAAATCCCAATTGCCCCCTGTGGCATTTTATTTTGGGCACAAATTTACAAAAAGTCAGACGAAAACACAGTCTACGCTCTTTACCAAGTCATGAAGAATTAGATAGTTTTCTTGTTGCATACAATATGTCAAATAATAATTCCGACTACGGCTTTTATTTATTGCGTACTCACTCAGATAACAACAACAAAGAGTTAGCCCATAGTATAGCTAAAGAAATGCAACAAAAGTATCCAGAAAATAATTTACTACAATTGAAGTTAGCAAGGCATTTTATAATATACAACCTCTTAAATGATGCCAAGATTTCTCTGGATATGATGGAAAAATCGGGTGACGATTCGAATTTTTTCATGTACACTATGGGACTCTATTATTCAAAAATTAAAGAGTGTGAGGTAATTATAGTTTAATGTTTTATTTGTGGTGAGAGTTCCTTTTTAAGTATGATTGTTAAAATTAAAAAAATGTGTGAATCTTTAGATGGCCTTGATTTACTTTAAAAAAGGAACAGAAGATCATTTTCGGTGCAGTTTGCGATATGCACTGTGCATGAAGTATGTCGACAAAGATTTCAGTTTATTATATCACTTATTTTTAATGTTGAAAAAGTTTGAACAAAAAGCTTATCAACAAGAAATTCTCATATATATCGGTATTGAATATTACCACAGATGTCAGTACGAAAAAGCTATGAAATTTTGTGTCCGTGCTATTAAAATAAATCCAAATTTAGCTCTCTTGAAGGTATATATTTTTCTTATATTATGACGAAATATTTTGTATTTAATAAAAACTAATTCCGTTTATTTAATTGCAGGATTTTGTTCACAGGACATATAATTACGTCAATAAATTCAATGTGTATAATTTTATAGATGAAGCTCTATTAACCAGGTTGAAAAAAGTAGGCAGGGAGTATTCAGTTGAAGAAGATGTACTAGAATATGAGAACATACGTAAAACGTTATCAATGACATCAACACCAGAAACGGACTCTACCTTAGATTATGGAGAGTGAAGCAGTAACAAAAAATTATTATAAAAAAGTGGTTGTTTCCAATGCACTATAATGTAGAGTTAAGGTAATCCGTTTGTGTTAATTTTGTAATGTTTATCTCACCAAGTGTACCGTAAAATAAATTTTCATTTACTAAGTCATGTTATCAGACTAGTACTACATGTTTTTATTTTCAAATGAGTAACAAAAGTGTTGATATGTATGTATGTATGTTGATGGTATTAATACTTTTTAAGCTTTTGAAATACGCAGACTGTGGCTGTACTGGTAATAACATACTAAAGTAAAGTTTGTATAGTCAAGTAATTCCTAAATGTTCATCTATAAAGATTAACGTTGCGACCGATCACAGACGTCCACGGCTTTAGCTGCTCATTAACGATGTACATTATCACCTACACTGGGCTCAGTTTTTATGGTAAATCAATGTATTTATTGCTCAGAAAAGTGGAGCAAGAGGTAACATCCGCTTACGTTGTGGACATGATCGTCAAGGCAACGAAAAATCGCGTACTCGATGAAATCGGCAAAGCGTAGACGAAGCAGAAACGAGCGATCCTGCTGATTTTCACTCCGTGAAGGGCAACGAAGCCCAAGGGAACCTGCAAAAGCGTTGCGTTTTCCATTTTCTACGAGCAGATCTTGGACAGGGCGATCAATCACGCGAAAAGTGCCATCAAGAACTACCCAAACTGCCCGCTGTGGCACTTTATCCTGGGAAAACATTTACGGCGCCGAAGGCGTTCGAAACACCTAATAGGCTCTTTTTTAAACACGGAAGAAGTCAACTGTTTCGAAACGGCTTACGGTATATCAAATAATAATGCGCTGTATGGCATTTATTTGGTCCAGGCACGTCAAGAAAACCACGATTTCGATTTAGCCAATAGCTTGGCTGTGACCATACAACAATTGCATCCAACGAATTTGAAGGTACAACTTCGTGCTTGGCTCAATATTTTTTGAGAACTAAAAATTGGAGGGACGCCAAAGTGTCCCTGGATTACGTAAAAAATGGAGGTCTCAAATCAGACATATTTTTTCATCAAATGGGAATATACCACATGAAACTGAAAGAGTACAAGGTTTTTGTTACATATTAAACATTTTATAGGCAAACTGTTAAATATAATTAATGATGAAACGTGTGTGCTTTATTTTTTTAATATTTATATTTATAGGTAGCTGCAGATTACCTTAAAAAAACCGCGAAAAACAATTTTGGTGCGAGTCTACAGTACGGCCAATGCATGAAAATCATCGATGAAGACTTTAGTATCCTGTTTCATCTCTTTTTGATGCTAAAAACATTCAAGAAAGATGTTTGTCAACAGGAGCTTCTTATACTTGTTGGTCTTGAATATCATCACAAGGAAAATTATGTAAAATCTTTAAGTTACATGGTGCGTGGAATCAGAATAAACCCAAGGAGCCCATGCTTAATGGTCAGTTTTACTCGGTTTCATTTACGTTTTTAAACAACATTTATTTTATAAAATTATAACAATTTTATAACCTAATTTTAGAGTTTTAGGTGTATAGACAAGACAATAGTAAACATGTTTAAATTGATTGATGATGAAATTTTGCCGATGTTGAAAGAAAAAACCGAAGGAATCTCAAGCAAAGACATAATAGAGTATGATACTCTTCGTAAAATGGTACTGTCTGAAGAGCAAGCAATTTCAACTTCTACCTGCATATCCACGTATGAGAAATTAACATCACTTATTTAAAATCTCAAAATTGGTGTCACTAAAAAATTCATGTTCAATCAACGTGCAATCTAAATCAAATGAAAAAATCACTTACTAATGATCTTAATAATATTATGCAAAAAGATTTATGTTTCATACGCACGACAAATAAAAAACGACACAGTAAAATGTTGTTTTAAATTCAAGTTTTATTATTGTAAAATTAGAATCTTAAATAAATACACTTAAAAATTTTAAGAATTATTCAAGTACCTACTATACACAATTCGTCTCGGTAAGGTTCAACAACTAAAGTTCAACATCCCGAAAAAAGTCATCAAATCCAGAAGGCACTACTCCCATGTATCACACACAAACACACTATTTGTGCCATTTGCAGTATTAGACCGTACGAGAGAGATATAAGTACAATTTTCTACGAATCGGTAACAACGAACGTAATATTGTCCCCACTCGCGAATACATTCTCCAAAAACGGAAACTTTACGTATACGATAATATGTATATATACTTTCTTCTTGCGGTTTTGCTCCATGGACGGAATAATACAACGCAGTACTCACAAAACATGCCAATGGAAAAATCCACCGCACTCGCTTGTAATTGTACGGCAAATGTACCTTATATACACAGCGTGGGTGTCGCGGTCTATACACATCGGAAACTCCCCAAAGCTCATCACGATGGGGCGTACATCCAACACTCATCGGCACCCGCGTCTAAAACTTGAAGTATCAGAAAATACCGAAGCGCTTTTTGGAGCCGGTGCTCATGCGCTTCTTCCTAGCCGGAGCCACGACCTCGTCCCCGTTGCAAGCCCCGGAGTTCGTCGAGGGCGGGTTGACGGGGGCGAGTTTGCTGCGCACGTGCTCGTCGAGCAGCGTCTGCATGTCCATCTGCCACTGCTCCAGCTGCTCGCTCAGCTCGATCTTCTGCTGTATCGCCTCCATCAGCTGGCTGTTTATCTGCAGCATGTCGATCCTCGTGCGCGCCAGCTCGACCTCGACCTTGTTCTTCCTCGCCACCGCCTGATCCCGCGTCTAGTTTCGACAACAAAGCAAAAGTCACATAAACAAAAGGCACGCGATGACCAACAACAAATAAAACGTTGATGTGTACCCACCTTGATGGCCTGGGCGAGCACCTCGTCCTTGGACAGCTGCGAGTGTTCGATGTCGTGGCGCGCGCGGTCCCTCTCCTCGCGCGCGCCGTCCAGCTCGGCCTCGCAGACCTTGAACTTGCTCGTGGTCTCGAGTAGGGTCTCGCCCCGGCGTTTCAGCTCTTCCTGCGTCTGGCGCAACTGGTCCTTTATCTGCTCGAGTTCCTCCTTGGCGCGGTGGAGCTCGACGGCGAGGCCCAGCTCGCCCGGACCGCCGCGGACGTTCGCCAGCGCCAGGCCGAAGACCTCCTCCACGAGGTCGGACAGGGCGCCCGGGCAGTTGTTCTGTGGAAAGAAATATGACATGTTACGTACAATCCCGGATAACCAGTGTCATCGATGACATCTGCCCCTCTACATGAGGGTATAAATGATTTCTTTGATTCATTGGTAGTATTTTGAACAGTGTGTTAAAAATAATTTTAAAAATAATAACAAAGTCCAAAGTTGAGACAACTCATATTAAACTTACTAATCATCAGTCACTTACTTATCATTGTAACTTGTTATCATACAGTTATTACTTTTTTTTGTTTTTTTTTTTTTTGTTCGCAAGATCGAGTGGTACAAGTGCCCGCAAAGATTTTTTTGTTTATCTGATACATAATGGAATACAAGTAAAATAATCCGTTATGAACAATGATGAATAACTATTAGTTTTTATGTAATTACTTGTCTCAAGTTGTTATTATTATCAGTCATGATGAAAAAATAAAGCCCATATCTTGTACGAGCGTTGTACCTACATAAAGTCACGAGTGTTCAAAGAGGGGGGGGGGGCGATAAAAAAGCGAATTTCACTGCAGCTTCCTGGGTTTGCAGAGCACAGAGGAAGAAAAGCATCGTCTGCTGGTCATGTTATTGCCATAAAAGTGGACAAAGCCGTGTAAAATGAGTCCCAACGATTCGAAAAATAAGGGAAAAACCCCTGGCTCACCTCGGTCTCGTTGCCGTTGCCGAGGACCAGCATCGACTCGTCGCAGTCGCTCTGCAGCCCCGAGTCGTCCTCGCCCCGCTTGAGGTGACTAGACAGCTCCCTGAGCCTCCTGCACGCCCTGCCGACCTCCTGCCTGAACTCCTCCAGCTCCCGCTGCTGCTCGAGCGAGCCACCCTCGAGGCCGCTCTCCTCGCACTCCATCTCCGCCTGGAGCGAGCGCCCCGGCCTCGTCGACCCTCTCCCGCTCGAGCCGCTGGCAGTCTCCATCGCGGCCAGGGCAGCTGCCAGCTCGTCCCTGTCGACATTCAAAAGGGATGATGCACCAGCTGCTATGCATCTACACCCCCCGTTGAAACTCGAGATGAATCCGGAAAGGGAAGGAGAGAGAGGAGGGGGGGGACAGGAAGTTTCTTTTTTCCTTTCTTCCCCCTTTTGCTGCAGGGCCTTCGGCTGTTGTGCCGAGGGTATATATTTTATACGTTTCATACAGTGACGTTGGCCAATTTTTCATTTTATTTTGGTGGAGGAATATAAAGGGTTGCCGTACATTCCATACCGAGGAGAAATCCAAAAATTCGTACGGCTAATGCGTATATCATTGACAATATGTAAATATCCGTAGAGCGGTCGTGTGTGTTTTATTTACATCGCCCAGTGAGCCGTGTGTTTACGATCTCACGAATAATAATAGGTATGGGTGGTGTTTGTCACAAAGTCACCGAAGCGCGCTTTATAGGTACGTACATGCCGATCATCCTTTTCTTTACTTTGACGCGTGTTTTTGGCCGCGTTGTGTGTCTTCAATATCATCAGACATCGTCGGCCAACCTTCGATCCTCGTCTCAACAAAAAAAAAAAAAAAAAAGAATATTTAATTGTTGGCGAGACTTTTACACGTGGCGCGCCGTATAAAATTGAGGTTCTTCGGCACGCGGATCCTCTATCTCCCATCCACGATGTATCGACAACATCGGTCATATGGAAGGCGCCAACTCGAAAAATTACCTTCAAGCTCATTCGGAGGAACACTTTTTAGTGCCAGTACTTACATAATATACTGACAGTTTTAATGAAAAAGACACGGGTTTTCACCATCGAATAAACGGTTTGATCGTTCTAAAGAGCAGTTGTTCGTGGCAAAAAATGGCCAAAACATAAAATGTAGGTATACATTAATGTCACACTTGTGTATAAAAAAAATTGGCGCTTCCTTTGACCGAGGCGTGAATGTGTATAGTCATCGACCGGTTCTCAGTTCGGTTCCTGTATTATACTACGGCCCACGCAAGTTTATTTCTCTCTCGTTTCAATTGTTCGCTCATTGGAGTATATATTTATACACTTGTATCGTAGAATTTTCATGAATTGATGGAGGGGATATGGGGGACTATGTACTGTCTCCTGAAGGTGCAATGGTCAACGATGCCCGTTTCCTTTCAAGCCGAGGACGAGTGACTGCGTGTGTATAGGTGTACCCTCTGCGGAGATAACGCCTGCGAGGAAACCGTTTTTTCTCCGCGTTGACGCTGCGGAATGTAAGCGACAGACTGGTACATTGCCCGACATCCTCGGACGGGCATTCATATATACAACATCGGGGATTTTTAAGAAAAGCATGTATAATGCGGTCCGGTTTATGATGGTGATACATTAGCATTTTACTTCCAACTTGAAAATCGAGATTGAAAAAAAAAAAAAAAAAAAAAAAAAAAACGCGATCGCATTCTTTCGACAACAAAGCAAAAGTCACATAAACAAAAGGCACGCGATGACCAACAACAAATAAAACGTTGATGTGTACCCACCTTGNGAGATTGAAAAAAAAAAAAAAAAAAAAAAAAAAAAACAAAAGACGCGATCGCATTCGAAAAAACAAACGCGTTTCTTGTGTTATAAGTATTACCCAAACAAAGAAAGAAAAAGAAAAAAAGCGACTCTTGTGCGAAGAAGGTGACGCTTCGATAACGGGCGTCCATGTGTTGCGGTTATTGGGTTATACGTATACACACGCCCAGTCGAACGAAAAAAAGCTGTTTCAAGCGATTGTTGATGGTTTTTACTGATCGATTAAAACGAGGGGCTCTCCACTCTGAAGTATATTTTCGCGACTTTTGAAGTCTTGGATGGATAAATTGGACATCAAGTCTTTTAGAAATGCCTTGAAGGGATAAAAAAAAGTGGCTTCGCGATGTGACGTCGGACGTAGCCATCGACGGGTGAGCTGCGATGAAATAGACGTACATGCAGCGTGACCAAAAAAAAAAAAAAAAAAAAAAAAAAAAAAGTAGGAAGCCCCAAACCTTTCGCGCTCGGCGACGATGGCGCGCCGCTCGGCCTCGTGCCCGAGTCGTTCGAGGGCCTGTGCTCGCTCCTCGGCCTCCTCGAGCGCGGCTACCGCCCGGGCCCTCTCCTCCCTCAGCTCCAACGACCGCCTCTCCAGCTCCACCCGCTGCGCCGACACCAACTGCACCTGCAATCCAAAGACCCTCCGGATGAATGTTTATCCACGTACGTATAACCGTGTTTAAGCGTGTACATTCATGCCTATGGAGAGCACATTAGCTGTTGCACTGACGCGCCGTACACCAGAAGCACCGCCCACGCGTTTTACGGAGGACAAAAGAGAAACAACAAAGAGAGAGAGAGAGAGTTAACTGGATTCTTATCGATACAGCCGCTTTGATGAGTACATTTTAATTGCTTTACGCGGAACCACATGTGCAAATAAATATATACATTTATTTTGTCGCGATAAAATGTATTTTCTATACTTTCTTCCGAAAATAATTTGTACAAATCCGTATACGACTGCGGAACAATTTCCAAAAAAAACAAAGTAGCATCGATGGATGACCGGTATAAGTAAAAAACCGGTAGCGTGAAGAGCAAATATACGCAACAAGTATAAAAATATGCAATGCGCGGCTCACCTCATCCTTCAGAATCTCGAGGCTGCTGACGTGGTCCTGTAGGGTCGTGCTCCTGTGGGCGCACTTTTCGCGGGTGAGCTTGAGCTCGACTAGGAGGTGTTCCTCTTGTTTGGCGGCCTCGCGCAACTGGTCGGCCAGCCTGGCGTTCTGGGCCGTTAGCTCCGTGACCAAGTTCGCCTGGTCGCGCTCGGCCCTGCGGGCGCGCTCGCTCTGCTCGTCCAATTGGGAGCGCAAGCCCTCGAGGTCCGACTGCAGCTCCACGGCCCGGGCCTCGCTCTCCCCCCGGGCTTCTTCGAGTTTACGGCGCAACAAGTGACGCTCCTGCTCCAGACCCTGCGCTCACAACCCCCAATTTCAACAACCATACTTCATTTAGCTCATTGTCGTTTATCCATATACCGCAATACTCCACACATAGTGTTGGTGTATATATATACATTATAGAATAGAACAAAGGGGTTTCCCCAACCAATTTCGTTATAAAAACGCGACTCGAGTGCTCCAGACAATCCTACATACATATACCTATTATTATTATTACAATAAATATAAGACCGAGACAGAGTAAATTTGATCTTTGTGCCCGTATATATTTTGGATAGGGCTCTTCCACGGCGGACTCTCGATTCCATGCCGATCTTATGCCGATGTTCAACAAACCCCCTTTACTCGTGTACCTCAAGAGGGTATAATGCACTGTGGCACAATAAAAACACACACACACACAACGAGTCGATACATATAAGGGCTCGATCGAGAAGGACAAAAAAAAAAAACATCGATCGGCAAGCTGTACAAGGAAAAAAAGATTTAAAAAAAAAAAACATCAACTAGCTAAACGGCAGTATATATGAGTAAATATACGGGTAAATGTACGGCAAGCCAGCCGATTATCTATCTCGCCTCACCTCCTCGAGGCCACCTTGGATCTGTGGGCGGTCGGCCCGTCCTCGACTTTTTCCCACTATAGTCGTGTGTGCAGGTATACATAAGTACGTGTGTGTACAATATCGGCAATGCCGAGGCGAAAACCTATACTCGATGCCATGTTACACGGACAAAGAACGTATTATATATATATATGTATGTATATATTATATACGTTCACGTGTAACGTAATATAAGAGCGAACGAGAAAAGGGATACACACATACCTTCAGAGGTAAGTACATACACGTGAGTAATACGCGGCACGAGAGTTTCTTTCGAAATCAAAGATCGGTAGGTATAAGTATAGGTAAGTACATATTATACCTATACCTGTGCATGCAGTGTGATGGCTCTCGCTTTCGCGCGTCCGGATTCTGTTATACATATATAATATATATGTATGCGCGCTCGAGTTTGCTTTCACGAGATGTTATTGCACTTTACGCGGATCGCCTATTATTATGTGACGTCGGGCTCGCCTACGCCAAGATATTACATGTGGCCACTTGGTAGTTTATATTCGATGGAATCTTTGCGGATGGATGGATTGCGTCACAAGTGAATAATGATGTATAATGCACGTATGGCATTTTATTGACTTTCTTCCTGACACTCGCATCGATGATCGTAGTGATTGATGCTCTCTCATAGAAAACGCAGTAAATTTACGTAAGAGCTCCGATGACGATCAATAGCTCCCCCGGCAATCGAGATCTTTCCGAAACGTCCGGTTTGGCCGAGAAAACCGGCACCACCGACCACCACCACCACCGGTAATTAAACACGGCTGAGTTTGCAACACTCGCCCAGCACAGCTACTATACCCATTACACTTTGATAACCGGAAAGAGAGCCAAATGCCCACTTTTGTTATTATTTTTTTTTTTTTCCTTACTTTTTACATTACCACGGTAATAATAAATAATAATTGCACCCTTTATCTTTTTATGAACTCGGCAAGGCCGGTGTGGATTGTGCAAACAACAGTATAATATATAAGAACAAGTTTATAGCGAGATGTATAAAGCTATACGGACCACGGACGGACTGTTTTTTCATATACAGGCTATATAGGAGCGCAGGTCGAGCCCCGGGGGGGCGTTGAGTCACAGCGACTTATTGCAAGTGTACCTGCGATGGGAAGGAAAAAAAATGCAGGAATGATCGGTACGTATATATTATATTGTGTAGAAGTGATGGCGGGTGTATACCGAGAACACACCCATTAAACATGTACCACAGGTACATATATACCAGATATATGCAAGTGTGTATATATTTATATTAACGGGTTTCCGTGACTCACGCCCGATACACTACCGGTAATTTTCTCGATTTTTAGATTTTACGGCTGATGCATTTTTTTTTCTCCCCCTCCCTAAGCTCGCGTATTTCCGTGATTGCCGATTTCGGTTTTTGCCAAAATTGCGTAAGCCGTATTTTAGCGATTCGATTTCGGCTCTCGACAAACGAGCCCCACGCTATTATACACATTATATCCGCGATATGTATAATACACTCGCCACCACTTGTGCAGACTATTTTTATTTTTCCCAACTAAAGTGGCCTGTTTGGATTCAATTATACGTGTTACCAGTATATATTATACCTTATGAATTTATCGTTCCATTGTTGCAAAAATAAACGCGCTCGCGCAACCGATTATCATTATTGCAGCTTATGTCACTTTTCAAAGTTTATATTTCGCCTCATGTATATAATATCATAAACATGCGCATGTACAACGAGCGGCTAATCGTGTCAATTGTCGTACGGCATAATACCGATTGCGCGAGTAACGCGAGAGTATACTAACGAAAAAAAAAAAAAAAAAAAAGAGCTCGAGACAATGCGCAGTAACGATTAGAAATAAACAATTACGCTCGTGGCGCTAAAATATAGATGGTCATGAAATATACAAGTATTAATATTCATCGCATAAAAGCGCGGAATGAATTTAGAAAAAAAACAAGTTGTGGATCGCGAAGTGATCAAAGTTTACCCAATCAGCCATCATCATCGCCGTGAGTACCACCCACTGCTCCTCCTTTGCTCTCGAAATAGCGACTAATGTTATACATACACACGTGGACGCCTTGAAGAGAATGAAAAATAAAAATACATGGTTGGTATAACGATCTCGGCGGGGGCGTGATGTGCCCCTGACGCTCGTTTGCCCACGTGTAATACACAGAAGCGTCGGAACGAAGATGATGGCGGTCGAGGGAAGGAAAAAAAAAAGTATATTAATTAACACACGCGGTCGCTCCCGCATTTTCGAATCGATTAAAAAAAAAAAAAAAAACAAGATATCACGGATGATTCAGCCGCGAGGAGTGAGAGGTACAAACCACTCGTGTATTATGCATTATTTATGCAAATGCAGGAGAGGCACGGCATTTAAGGTCATTGCGCATCTAGTATTCTCTCTTTTCTCTCGAGTGAGATCACGACAATCTCCTCGTGACGCGATTTCGGGCCCCTGCACGACAGTGTATATATACATATATTAAGTAGTTGCAGTTGATTTAGCGCGGCTCACCACAAGAGTTGAAAGTAAAATTCTTCGGGTCAAGTATTCGCTGTCGTCACTGGTATATACCTATCCGGATTAACGGGAGAAAGTAAAGGAATTACGTTCGCGCGATACTCGAAGAAAGCCCGGAAAAATAATACCCTCACGCACGTATAACTTACACGTTTATTGCGGCTACCGTGTATATGAACTTGACACTCGGTCCTTTTTATTAATCATTTTTTTTTTTTTTTTTTTTCCATAGGGATGTATATACCTCAATACTTTGTACATACGATCGGATGATTCAACGCGCCAAAGTCGTTTTCGCGTGCGAGGCTACATTCGAAATCCTGAAATCCTTGGGACAGAGAAATTTGCACGTTAACACTCGATATAACCCGTGATCGTATGAGTCACGATTCGTGTATCGTGTGAGTGTGTCGATAATTTATAGCAGGATATTGTTTACTTCCTTTTTTTTTTTTTTTTTTTCCGAGCGCGTTTAAAATTAAAAGAAGAAGAAGAAGAAAAAACACATCCATCGATTCATCCGTTTTGTAATCCTCATATGATGTCACGCGAGGTTTAATCATACACACCGGTGCTGATATTATGTTCTAATAGTGTTTATAAACGTGTTGAAAAGAAAAAAAGAAATATCGATTTAAGAGAAAAACAAAGTAAGGAACATCTCGAAAAATCGAGGTAATGTATGATTATATGTATTTTTAATCGCGTCAGACACGATAATATGTATCTCGAAAAGTTTTATTACAGCTAGACGAATTACAGCGTTTGTATACACATCCGGTTTCGGGGAACAGATTGGACGAAAAGAATAAAAAAAAAAAAAAACTAGTTCAACGTGTTACAACTTTGGCAATGATCCACCTTCTCTACTTGGATTGATTTCTATACAGCCTTGTGAATGGCGCGTGGGACGAATTCTGCCAGAATACACACGTACTTTTACACAAACAATTGTTCTCAATAGCGTATGGATATCACATAAAAGATACCCAATAGCTTGAAAAAAAAAAAAAAAAAAAAAAAACAACAGGTGTTCATTGCCGAATTTCGTGTTTGCTCTCCGATTTGCCATTAGCTTATATCGTGTGTACATCAAAACCACGTAAGTATATTATGTGCTCTAGAAATCGCGCGAGTAGCAGATTAAAGTACGAGGAACCGCGATTATTAGACTGATAAAAAAAATAGAGCGCCAACCTCGAGTAATCTTACGCAACATATATACGTATCCACATACACCCGCGCAACGGCACTTTTCATTCGGGCCCGAGTATATTATATGTCCCTCTTGTGTGTCCCGATGAAAGATAAATATATGGTTACTCGATTTTAAAAACACACGCATCACCTATAAGCCATGTCCATGGTCTTTCATCAAACGTGGGATCGCAAAAGTGTAATATATAGGCGTTTCCGCGTTTCCCTCGCGTTCGCCCCGAACTTTGGCTAATCATTACCACTCGAGGAAACAACCATTGCGTATATATACGACGGGCGATGAGATAAGAGTCGACTCGGCAAAATAATTATCTATAATGAGTGTACATTGGGACGATGGAGGAGCTTCGGCGCCTACTTTTCTTTCCCCCTTTCCGAAAACGGTGCAATAACTATTATACAAACTGATCTCTCCAACATCATTTTTATTGTCTCCTTGGGTATACAATCACGATGTTTCCTCCAATAAATACCCACTTCTCGATACAGGATCACTCGCACGTACAAAAGAAAAATAGCATCTTATCAATGAGGAACAACAAGTATGTAACAGATTATTGTATATAGTTCATCCAAAGTGTACCTACCGAGGTAATCTGCAGTATAGTTTTGCAGGATGCCAAAGAGAACTAAAGAG